ATCTGTAACATACCAAAAATAGTAATAAAAAATTTCATTTAAAAGTTAATCAAATCATTCATCAATTGTTTCACAAATCCATTATCAACCATAATATTAAAAACATCAGAGTACAATTATTCAATTTGCGGAAATCATGAGGGGAGGATGTTGTGACATCACGTCGGACAATTCCCTTTCGAATCAGAAGTACCTAAAACCATAAACATAAACTGTAAGCACAAAGCTTAGTGAGTTCCCCAAAGTACCATATACCAAACATACAAATAGAGGCCCAGCCTGTGGTATATCTCAACCCAATAATATGATACATGTAATGTCGAGGGCCAGATCTCGGTCTTACATACAAATACCATGGGCCACCCCTATGGTCTTTTCCTTGTAATACTGAGGGCCAAATCCTGGTCTTACATACAAGGGACATGGGCCACCCCATGGTCTTTCATGCAAGAATCACACAACAACTAGCATTCTACAATACAATTCCTAGTGGGTCGGCATTAGTGCCTTCGACCCACGGGTATAGTGAGGAGACTCACCTCATAGATATATGAGAAACTGAAACAACACGCTGCTCTGGAATCGACTGTATCAGTCACCTTAAAAATACAGTGACTAAAACTCAGAATACATATCACAATATCCTAAATACCCCTAGGTCAAACTTGGTCAAAATCAAAATTCAAAAGTCCACCCAACAAGCCACCACATCGTGGCCTCCTTGGCCATGTCGTGGTCACAAACCGCCAAAACAGATGGTCTGGACCAAGTCACCACATCGTGGCAACCTCCACCATGTCGTGGTGATGCGTCAGGACACATTAACCCCTTAAGTCCTTTTTCCTTCAACTACAAGAACTCCAAGGCTCAGATATAGTCCTTCCATAAGCCAAACTCCCTACACAACCACTAATGGTGACTTAATGCATCAAGATTCCGATTAAGCACCAAATCCTTAGAGTTGCACCTCTAAAGTTTCTAGAATGTTTCATGCTCCAAAGTGACCTTAAGGTTCATGGCTTTATGGACTTTCATGTCCAAAACATCATTTTTTCCATTTTAGGGAAAAAAAAATAGGGTTTAAAGACTAAAATCCCATGCATGACATGAAAACTTGATTATAATCCAGATCTAAGACACTACTTGCTCATTTTAACCGAAAGATTCATAAATTTGCAAACTTTATGAGATCCCATCACTTAAATTCATCAAAACATGGAAAGAGGGGACAAAAACAAGGGATTTAGCAACATGGCAAAAAAAAGGTTAAGCTTGGCACTCACCAAGGTCCAAGAGATGAGCTTAGCAGAAGAAATGATGCCTTCCACGAAACCACATCACCAAAAATCTTCCTTCTCCTCCTAAAATCACCAAAATGCACCAAGAATGAGCTCACGACTTTAATGGAGGCTAGGGTTAGGGTTTCTGAGGTTGGGAGGAAGATGGAGGCTGAAACCCTAGCCGTAATGTTCCTTAAATAGGGTCCAAGACCCGAAAACTAGGGTTTTCAGTAACAAACACCACCACGTCGTGGTGCCTTAAGACCACGTCGTGGTGGGTCATTAGAACCCGCAAACAAAGCTGATACGCCACGACGTGGTGACGCCCCACCACGCTGTGGCCAGTTTTTTACAAATAAACACACAAACGATGAGTCATACCTGGATTGGATGTTACAAGATCATATCCTACGAAATATGAAACAATTATCAAGCCAGCCCCACATTTCATATATCCAAGTCTACCTTGATAATCGCTATGTAATATTACATCTTCTATAAACGAGGATTGATCGTTATTTTTATACTTTGATGGACATTTTCTATATCTACTCCAATATGTCTGACAACAAACCAATCACATTGAATCGGAGGGACTTGATAATGTACAATTTATATGACTGTACCAGTCCAATATAACTAGCAACAAACCAATCATATCAGACTAGGGGCTTGATAATGTATGACTTATACGACTATATCCAGTCCAATATAATTGGTAGTAAATCAATCATATCGGACTAGGTGGGCGTGGAGGACTTGATGTTAGATCTATTAGCACGACCTACACAACATAACAACACTGTTTGGCATCACATCATGACAATGTTGATTGGCAGCACAATAAGACATCACTCGAGGAGAGAACAACATATCAACCCAACCCATGACTAGCTGTGTCAGAATTGGGTTGGCCCAAGGTGTGATCTAATTGTATCTTGATCTAACCCTATAAATAGAATACTTTCTCCTCCATGAGGAGAATCCTAACTATTAGATTTGAGCCCCCACAATACACATACACCTCTCCTCAAGATAGTCTGGAGAAACCATCTCCTCTTACACATCGATCTAACTTGGTAGTTGGAGCTTGCTTACGGGGCATAGTATTTAGGGTGGTTCTAATGGTTTATCTCTACAATGGCAGCTGTGAATCAAGTCGGGAGCTTGCTAATGACACCTATTCCAGATCTATGATCCAGATCCAACAACAAGACCCGATGGCTAGATTCCAATTCACATCATTATATTTATCATTTGAATAAAATTAAACTTGTTTGTTTATATTATTTTGTTTTGAAGTTTTTATTTCGGCCACCTACTCTAATGTTTGTTTTTTCCCCTCCCGATCATGTTATGAGTTCGTCCCCACTGGCATCCAAATTCAATTGTTTTCGCAATGTTACTTGTTATTATCGTAAATATATAGCTTCCATATTGATTAAGAATGCATGTGTATGTGGTATGCCTTGTAGGCATGACAACCGACTGACCCTTCAATATTGCGAAATGCAAAAGTATCTTTGTGGATACACTTTTTGAAAGTTTGAAAAAGAATACAGAAAAAAAAAATTAAACCTATTAAGTAAAAAATGAAAAGTTAGTTTGGGCAAATTAGGGTTAATTTAAATATCAATCAAGTTTCACATGTGTTCCATCTATGCACCTCAAAAGAAAATTAAAGTGGTTTTACTACTAAGTTTCATTTTTGTTGCACTTAAATACCTCAAGTTTAAATATTGTTCCTATTTATGAAAATTAATATTGTTTTTTTACCTTAAGTAAAAATTAAAAACTTTTAATTTTCTCCACTTTCTTTTGAAATGAGTTGGAACTTGGAAGATCCACCTAATCAGAAAAGTTCTATTTGGACGGCCTCTTTTTCTACATGTTTTCCACTTGTGATTGTTACAAAAGCATCACCAACAACCCACCTACATGTTCAAATGTACTCATTAATTATTTCTCATTCACAACATGAGCTTTTACGTCCATCTTTTTTCCATGCCCTTAAAATAATAGTCTTTTAGATCGAATAACCTTTACATTTAATTAAACCAATGTATAGAAACTCTAGTATACAATAATTTCCTTCTCCAGTACTAACAACCAGTCCATTGGTAGTGATGATACGTTTGTGCCAAGATAAAACTTTGATGACAATGAGCCTTGGATGCATCTCTTAGTTAGAACAAAAACGAAAGTATGTTAATATTTAGAGAAATATTTTATGAATTGCCGAGTATTGTCATAATCATTGTCAAATAAACAGTCAAACAAGTAAACAAATTAAATTTTACTTTTTTCACATATAAATAAAACAAAATTAAAACTTGAATGGTAAAACATCTTTAGAATAAAAATTGAGATATCTTAATGGAACAAACTTAAAACTTGCTTAGTATTTCATGAAATTAACCCGTCAAATTACATTAACCCTATTATCTATAGATATTTCAAATATTTTAAAATTGGTGTTTATACTTGCAAAAGCATCACTCTAACTTAGCCTCCGTCTTTGTCCAGTTTGATACATCTGTTGCTTGCTCTGAAAAGACGATAAAAGCCGTTAGTAATTCAACAAATCCTTTAACAACATATATTGTTAATTTGTTCACTATAGGATCCTACATTTCAGAAGTGGAAGAAAAAAAGATAAATAAAAGTTTGTGTATTGATAAGAAAGATGGCAAAGGTATGTGAGTGTTACCTAGAGAAACCTTGATGATTCAATACATGTCAGACTCCATTGTGTTCAGCCAGATGCCTTTGATATAACACAATTCCTTGGGTATTATTAACAATTTAAGATAAGATGCATGGTAATGCACACCTGCACCCAAATCATAAATAAATAACACAATCCTTTCAGGATAACAGTAAAAATAAAAATCCATCAAAGAAGATGTATACTGATAAAGAAAAGATTCGACTCAAAAGTTTTAGTTGTTTAAGGTTATGTATTTTCGATGCCCAATCTTTTCCATCTCTCTGATAGATGCAAGTATACTAATTTTGATCAGTAGGCGAACCCATACGGATTACAATAGAAAATTCAGTACATACAGAAGCAATCGAATCAAGAACTTACATAAGCATTCTCGAATTTGTCAACATCCATCAAGATGGTGTAGTCTCCGGCTTCTGGTGGGGCTTTGAAGTAGAACACCATCTTCGCTGTCTCCGCTCTCCACAAAGGACACTCTTTTCTCTTTTCCTCTTTCTAGGGTTTATTTTGTCGATCAAAATTGAAAAGAATCAGACGACCTTTTGAGCGTGCATAGATCTAGCAGCATAGAGGTGGAGCAATTACTTGAATCGGTGGTTTTCTTGAGGAAGGGCAAGTGTTAGAGAGGTGGCGTAAAACCATTGGGGAACAGATGCGGTGGAGAAAGCCGATGACTTTGAAGAGTTTTAGCTGAAGCCGAAGACCTGAAGCCGGCTTTATGAAAAGCAAAGGAGAAGCCGATAATTATCCCTCTTGTTTGAAATCATTACAATTTACACCCTTGGTCCCTTGCCATAACTCCTCTCATGTTCTACAGTTAAATACACAAAACACGTGGAGGGTATTTTGGTCTACTCATTTCTACCCAAATAGGCAAATATCGAGTTTCATGGTGCCTTCTATTTATTAACGCGGTCTGCACTCACTCTGTGGTGTATTTAATTAGCCAAAGTGCCCAACACACACTACGATAACGATTGTCAATTTCTAATATGTCGATCTCTCCATATCTCACAACAACACTAGAATCAAAAGAAGATGCAGACTACAACAAGATCTGCGAGGAGCACAAACACCTGATAGAAACAGTACCCAAAGGCAATGGATGGAGTATGCAACATCTCTACAACTACAATGGCTTCTGGTTACACCCCAACTCCATCAAAAATAACTTGCTTCTTCACGCATACTTCAAATCTCAACCCACCGACATCTTTTTAGCCTCCTTCATGAAGTCCGGAACCACCTGGCTCAAAGCCCTCATGTTCTCTACCATTAACCGCCACCGCTACACCTTCTCCGACCACCCTTTACACCACCATGGCCCACACGCAACTTTCCCTTACATTGACATCGAAACCTACCCTGCTATTTCCGACTTCACCCACTTGCCTGCTCCCCGAATGTTCGCAACCCATTACCCTCGCACCCTCTTATCTCCGTGCATTACCTCCTGCAAGTTCGTCTACGTCTGTAGGGACCCAAAAGACGTTTTGGTTTCAAAATGGCATTTCATGAGCAATCACAGATCCAAAGATCTACCTCCCTTCTCGTTGGATGAAGCGTTTGAGCTTTTCTGTCAAGGGATTTCGGACTACGGGCCATTTTGGGAACATGTTCTGTCATACTGGAGAGCGAGCCTGGAAACTCCGGACAAGATTCTGTTCTTGAAGTATGAGGAAATGAAGAAGCAGCCGGAGGTGGTGCTGAGGAAGTTGGCGGTGTTCATGGGGAAGCCATTCACAGCGGAGGAACTGGAGAAGAGGGTGGTGGAGAAAATTGTGGAGCTGTGTAGCTTCGAAATTTTGAGCAATCTTGAGGTGAACAAGAAAGGTGTTCAGAAGTTCGGTAAGTTTTTGGAGGTGGAGAATCGGCATTATTTCAGGAAAGGGGAAATTGGAGATTGGAAAAATTATTTGAGCGAGGAGATGAAACAACGCATCGATGGAATTACCAATGAGAAGTTGAAAGGTTCCGGATTGATCCTTGGAGTAAGCAGTCCTTGAGTCGATTAGTTAAAAGTTTTGGATTTGTTCTTTCATATTGCAAGTGATAGATGTTTTTTTGTAGACATCGGAAAGAAATATATGTTGTTCCACATAAAACTCCAACAAAACTGTAGTAGATAAATGAATGTACGTTATTCTGTAAGAGTGTAAGCTAATGTTAAGCTTAGGGTAGGGTAGAATCAAAATGGAAGAAAATCAGAATCGAAACAAAATTTGCAAAATCCTAACTAAAAAACTGATTCGTTCTAATCGAACTAAACAATATCTTAATACATTATCAATTTTATTACATTTGTTACTTGATTAATTAATGGTCTTAATTTGCACTTTTGATGACACTCAAATTAGTTGTATTGTAAAAGATAATTTTTTGTAGATATATTGTGAAACTAAAAAAAAATACCTTTGTCATGTTCTTATAGATTTTGATTTCAAGTAAAAACTATGTATCGACAGTGACGAAGTCAGGGTTAAAGTAAAGGGGTATTCCGCAAAAACAAGAAAATAATAAATAAAGTCAGGGTCAAAGTAAAGGGGTATCCGCGCAAAAAAAAAAAAATGATAATAAATAAAGTCATGTAATATACAATAAGAAAAAAATAAAAACCGGAATTTCATTAAACATAAAGTTCAACTTGTTTTAAAGTTCACCTCTTTACTCTTTCATTTTACGAAAACGATTAATTGCAAAGAGTGATAATCTATATCTGTAAAATCTGTTTCGATTCCGGTAATTAATTCTATTAATTGTTATAAAAGATAATATGTTTATTCAAAGAATAATGATTTAATTCTATTATTACTATGAGTATTACTTCTATTATTATTATTATTATTATCTTTTATAACAATTAATAGAATTAATTACCGGAATCGAAACAGATTTTACAGATATAGATTATCACTCTTTGCAATTAATCGTTTTCGTAAAATGAAAGAGTAAAGAGGTGAACTTTAAAACAAGTTGAACTTTATGTTTAATGAAATTCCGGTTTTTATTTTTTTCTTATTGTATATTACATGACTTTATTTATTATCATTTTTTTTTTTGCGCGGATACCCCTTTACTTTGACCCTGACTTTATTTATTATTTTCTTGTTTTTGCGGAATACCCCTTTACTTTAACCCTGACTTCGTCATTGTCGATACATAGTTTTTACTTGAAATCAAAATCTATAAGAACATGACAAAGGTATTTTTTTTTAGTTTCACAATATATCTACAAAAAATTATCTTTTACAATACAACTAATTTGAGTGTCATCAAAAGTGCAAATTAAGACCATTAATTAATCAAGTAACAAATGTAATAAAATTGATAATGTATTAAGATATTGTTTAGTTCGATTAGAACGAATCAGTTTTTTAGTTAGGATTTTGCAAATTTTGTTTCGATTCTGATTTTCTTCCATTTTGATTCTACCCTACCCTAAGCTTAACATTAGCTTACACTCTTACACTCTTAACATTAGCTTACACTCTTACAGAATATATATATATATATATATATATATATATATATATATATATATATATATATATATATATATATATATATATATATATATATATATATATATGTCAAGGGGTAAATAGCAATTTCCAGAAACTATTTTAATTAGATAAATTGGCTTAAGGGTAGATTCCGTTTATATGCTAAACCCGAGTGGTCAATTGTGTCAAAAACGTAATATCTTCATTTGTTTGATAACAGCCAACGCAGCTGCGAATCCATGGCTTTTTTGCTCAATTTAAACATACAAGTGCTCCAATCTTTGAAAGCCTCTTAACCATTACCCTTAGTAACCTTCCCTTGGATCATTTGAATCGCTTCTCCCTCCCTCTTAGCTACCAAACCCGAGAGAAAAATACTGAAAAATGAGTGAGGTCGGCTAGGGTTTTAGTGGGGAAGAAGACACTTCAAACTCAACATAAACGAAATATACTACTGAAATTTTTTTAGGGGTATCCTGGGATACCCCACGCTCCAATGTGGATCCACCTATGTGTATCGAGTGTGTTTGGCAAAATTAGCTGATAGTGGATAACGAGTAGCGGGAGGCGGGTAGTTGGCAGCTGGTAGCATTTTGTTAAACGTTACGTGAGATAACTTTTAGATTTAAAGCGTTTTGTTTAAACTAAACACTAAAAGTCTCTAGTGCCAAATGAGGTTTTTTGTTCAAAACGTTACGTTTTATGAAACGTTAGAAGTTGGAAGCTTTCAAACGCTCTTTGACAAACACACACAATAAGATAACGAACTATAAGTGAACTAAAAAAAATTAAAACAACAAATCCTAATACAAAAATTAAAAAAAATAAAAAATAGCGAGGGAAGATCAAAAACCACACAACACGAGCACAAAATCTTAGAACTTAAATCATGATAATGGAAAAAAAAAATAATAAATAAATAAATAAATAAAAATCATAACCCTCTCCAGAGGGATACAATACTACGTCCATAGCTCTCCGTTGTCACTCCCGCCAGTCTTGTAATCTTGTCTCGGGTTGCTTGCTGACTCGATTAGTGTATGACTGTATGAGCCACAACTTTGCAGGTTGCTCTATCAACTTACGTTAATCAAATAAATATTTGTATAATTTCTAATTAATAAAATCAATTATTTCCATCGTCAAGATGACATTGTTGTGATCACTTCAAAATATAATTGACAAATGTGGACATGTCACATAATTATGGGGCAATATGGGGTGGCCGTTCATAAAAAGCAACATTTTTTTAATATTTATTTCACTAAAGGTATCGTCTCATCAATCATTCAAACACACAGCTTATGTAAGATATTTCTTCTTCATCGTTATATATATATATATATATATATATATATATATATATATATATATATATATATATAGAGGAGGGTTCAATTGAGAAAAAAAAAAAGGTTGAGAATGGGGGAATTATTCTCAGCCAATCATTTATTTTTGCCGCAAAAGCCTCCAACGTACCGGCGGAAATGGGAAACGAATGCACATGTGTTTTCCAACAAAACATGTTTCCTTAAACTATGCTAAGCATTACCTTAATATATACAAAAACATAGTTTTTTCGTTTTTTTTAATTTTTAAGAAGCTATTTTTATCGAAAAATGATTTTAAATATACCAAAATTCATGATTTTTTATTCTCTACAAATAGACATCCATATTGATATAGTTTTAAGATAAAATAAAAAAATTATTTTTTTTATATTTTCAGCTATCGTTATTCATAAGTGAATAAAAATGAATCAGGTTTTTACTACAGTACATTCGTTATTCACTTATTAATAAAAACTATGATTAATTTTTTTTACAATTTAAGTATCATTCATATATGAATATAGCATATACTAAACATATTATATTCATATTTAAATATTAGACGATGCATTCACTTGTGAATATTACATAGTATATTCACTTGTGAATGTTAAATGGTATATTCACTTATGAATATTAGATGATATTTTCATATGTGAATATTATATAGTATTACATGGTATATCACATGAGAATAGTACATAGTATATTCACTTGTGAATATTAGATCGTATATTCACGTATGAATAATAGTTGGTATATTCATATGTGAATATTGCACAGTATATTCATATATGAATATTACAAGGTGTTCTCAGAAATATATATAATTTTTATATGTTATTCACATATGAATAACATACAGACTTGCATATTTGTTTTGTGTTTTAATAATTACATATTGATTCAAGTGAGAAAACATATTCATATGTGAATATAACGTGGTAATTTAGTTTATGCATTTCATCAAACACTTGGAGTGCATACAAGTTAACTTTTTTAAAAATGTGATAAATATGATACTTTGACTATTTAAATCTTACAAAATAGTAGATTGGTAGAGAAATATATGAAAATTTTCAAACAAAAAATGATTTGATCTTTTTCTAACCTTAATTTCGATGTTTTATTTGATGAACGATGTTGAATGAATGATACGAATTGAATTTTTTGTTGATTATCGATGATGTTGTTCTAATGATGCTGGGAGTATAATTAATCGTAGATGTTGAAGATATGTTCGTATTCAAGCAGAATTGAAGGTTGGATTGAAAGAGCAAAAAACGAATGAATTTCAACTGTTATCTAATTCTCTACACTTACGTATTTGTGATTGAAGGCTATTATATCATATTTACAAGTTTGTCACCGTGTTCTTTATGTTTAGAGGCTAATTAAATGAGTGGCTGAGAATGATTCCCCTATTCACAACCTTTTTTATTTTCTCAATTGAACCCATCTATGTATATATATATATATATATATATATATATATATATATATATATATATATATACTAGGCGAATGCCCGTGCGTTGCGCAGAAACACCTATATAGTTGAAGTCTTTACAAATATATGTTTTTTTAAAATATAACAATAATGTTATTGTTACATTTGATATAATAATTTGTATACTAAATTGATATAATATATTGATTATTTTGAATTATATGATAATATATACATCTATTATAACTGCATTATCTCAATCGTTTGAATAACTTCTACCCGCGAGTTACACATGACTAAAATTAAATATAATACATGGTTTAATGTTATTTATAGTTATTGTTATTGTTAATAAAGTTTATAAAATTTATTTGCTTAATGTTTTAATTTTTGTCATTATAATTATTTAAAACATCGAACATTGTTTTTTGATTTTAAAGGTAACAATATAACCATTTATATATAGTTATTTTTAACTATTGTTATTGTAAGTTATTTTAAACTACTTATTTGAAAATTTTTAATGATTATAAAAATATCTTTGGGAAATATTTTAGTTAAAAATTGAGATTACAATTTAGTTTTTCCATTTATCACTACAATTTTATCACTTTTAACTATTTATAAAATATTCTTTGGTTTTTTTTAAGTGGAACTGAAATTTATATTTAAGTTGATACTGTAATGTTATATTTAAATTAACAATTCAAGTATTTTGTTTA